AGGGAGCCCGATGCGGGACTCGATCCCGGGACTCCAGGATCATGACCTGAGCCGAAGGCAGTCGCCCAACCAACTGAGCCACCCAGGCGCCCCCTATGAGCCCATTTTAAAGCTGAGGACACCAACGCTCAGAGATTATCACAGCATCTTGGGCCTTAGAATGGACCTTGAGGGCATCTCATCCAAGCCTTTTGCCCCATACCTTCAATCCCATCACTCAGTGATGGAAGAGGTTAAAATTATGGCCCAAGTTACAAACCCTGTAAATGGCAGAGCCAGAACTTGAGCCAGTGGTGCTAACATGGAGCTCTTCCCAAGGTGCCTTCATACCTGCTTGGGATCTTCTTGCCTGAGTGAGAGAAAGCCGCCCGAGAATGAGTTCCTGGTAGCTTCTGCGGCTACAGAGGTCTGCATAGCAATTCTGCCTTTGGGCTTCCTTGTTGGCCCTGCCCAAGGCCTCCGGAGAGCTATACCATTCAGAGGCATCTGTTTGGAGGCATCTTTCCCTTCGCTAGTTCTAGGAGTGGTCTTGCCAGGTGGGTCTGACCTGTGTACCTTCAGGCAGGTTCGTATTCCCAGCAGCCTTTGACTCTCGACACCGCTCTATGTTCTTAACTCTAGTCCAACGTTCTGGCCCTGGAAGAGGGTAGAGAGTCACTGTGCCCAGTGAAATCCTGACTTCATCTTGGGACCTGGAAAATCTTCCATTGATTTTTCTTATCAGGCATCCAATTTCTCCAAACTGCTTTGAGACCAAGATAAAACACATGCATTTACAAGGTGCAACTCCTGGCTGAAGTTCTTTACCAGCTACTTCTTAACACTTGAGGGTTCTGGGATGACATTTCTGGCCCAGGGTAAATCTTTCAGCTGTTTTTCCAGGTCTTGGTTGGTATTTATATTTTCAGAAAAAAAAGGAAGGGAGGGAGGGAGAAATTACAACTTGTGATATTCAACTTCAAGAACACGCTTGATGGAAAGTTTTCGTACTAAATAGAGTAACCTATTCGTGGTGCTTGTCCCTCTGATAGCTTTGAAATGGCTCTTTGTGGTGACTCTTTTATGTCTCCCATAAAAACCCATTATCTGGATAAAGGCTGAAAAATAGCAAGTACGCTTCTTTCTAATTTCCCTGCATTTATTTGGGGTGAAGATGATTAGAGACACAGTTAATCGCTAGTAATATAAACCCTAAAATTGGAGCACCTGGGGTTCTTTTGCTACTCAACAGAGTGCTTTTGTGGTGGGTTTTTGAGCACAGACACATCTCTTTTCTTTTTACACAGAGCTTGCTTTGACATACAAGCCAAAAATTTACTTGAGGCAACCTAAAGAGTATGAGAGAGAATGTCTGTCTGTTTGGTTTTTTTAAATACTGAACACTACAGAGTATCCTTACAGCATAAAGTAGGTATGTTCCATATAGGACAGCTGAACACAGGCATTTATTAAGTAGGAAGTGAGCACAATGTGCTTTTTAAATTCACTGAAAATATTTTGAATCCTTGCCATTCTGAACCGTTCAGGAATCTTTAACCCAAGGTTTTGAAATATGAATCAAGCAGGATTGATACTGAGCTTTTTTTTTTTTTTGTCTTGGCTACAATTTGAGAAATGTTTTTGTATATGTTTGTTCCAAAAATAATTAAAAATGGCTGATCAGAAATACATATAGAAATGCATGCCCAAAATAAAGAGATCAGGACAACGGTGGAACAGGTAGGAAAATAAAATTAAACCAAGGATAAGGTCACTACACAGAGGTATCTTGTGGGGTTCTTTTATTTGGCCCTACTAACAGACATGGGAAGTATACCTGGATTTAAATGAAAAGTCTAGTATTGATTATAATTCACATCTCTCTTTGTTGCCCTAGAGTTCTTAACTGAGCCCCAGCAACTGTACATTTTCACAGACTAATTATTTGAGTTTGTAAAGGAGCAGATTCAGTGAGGTCCTCCTTGAGTCTTTCTGCTGTTTAGCCATTTTATCTCCCATTAGCATATCATCCTCAGAGGTTGATGAAGGAAAAAGATGTGCAAGTCATCCCAGCCCATCTTGTATCTTGGTTTAAAAAACGTGGGTGGTGGGGGGGGTGCCTGGGTGGCTCAGTTGGTTAAGCGACTGCCTTCGGCTCAGGTCATGGTCCTGGAGTCCTGGGATCGAGTCCCGTATCGGGCTCCCGGCTCGGCAGGGAGCCTGCTTCTCCCTCTGACCCTCTCCCCTCTCATGCTGTTTTTCTCTCTCTCTCTCTCAAATAAATAAATAAATAAAATCTTTAAAAAAAAAAAAACATGGGGGGTGTGATGGGGTGCCTGGCTGGCTCATTTGGAAGAGCATGTGACTCTTGATCTTGGGGTTGTGAGTTTGAGCCCCTGGTAGGGGGGAAAGATTGCTTAAAAGAAATAAATACATTTAAAAAACAAAAGAGAATTATATAAAAGGGGGTACCTGGTTGGCTCTATTGTTAAGCGTCTGCCTTCTCAGGTCATGATCCCAGGGTCCTGGGATGGAGCCTCACATCCGGCTCCCCGCTCAGCGGGGAGCCTGCTTCTCCCTCTCCCACTCCCCCTGCTTGTGTTCCCTCTCTTGCTGTGTCTCTCTCTGTCAAATAAATAAATAAAATCTTTAAAAATATAAAAGGGGGTGTTGCAAAGGGGCAGTGTGTGGGGGTCAGAAGTAAGGCAGTTAGACGTTGGGACCATTCGGAAGAGGATAAGTAAGAAATCCTTAAAGTTTGTGGTTTGTAGTTACCAAAACCAGCACAAGAAAGAATTCATGTAGACGTCTTGTGAAGGCAAGCTTTCAGAGCTTGAACAACTCGGGTTTAACCTATGCAAGTCCCTGTACACACAGATTTTTTTCTCAATAAATGCAGTCCAGCACTGTAAACGTCTTTTCCTTATGACTTTCTTAATAACATTTTCTTTTCTCTAGCTGAGTTTATTGTAAGAATCCAGTTGACAGTACATATAACATACAAAATACACGTTAATTGACTGTTTATGTTCTGGGTAAGGCTCTCAGTTAACAACAGGCTGTTAGTAATTATGGTTTTTGTGGAGACAGAAGTTATACGTGGATTTTCAACTGTGTGGGTGTTGGTGCCCTGAACGCCAGAATTGTTCAGGGCTCCACTGTGTAACATTTCTTGATTTTGAACATTTCCCTACACTCACAGAAATATAAGCTTCAATGTCCAAGGTACTCAGGTTCAGTAGCTTCATAAAAAGCCTCTTGATCAGGCCAATTTGGACACATCATCATCTAGAAATAGCCAACACAGAATAGAGAGCATTAGACAGCACAGTTGTTCAACAACATGTAAATATATCAAACCAAGAGAACCTTATGTTGCTATTAAAATCACAAAAGTTACATAAACAGAGAGTGTCATAAAAACTATCATGAAAAGAGTATTTATGAGAAAATGAGAAAAATGAACACTGATATGTAAACTATAAAATGTAAAACACCTGGCTGGCTGAGCTGGAAGAGCATGTGAGTCTTGATCTCAGGGTGGTGAGTTCGAGCCCAATGTTGGGTAGAGATTACTTAAAATAAAATAAAATAAAAATAAAATGTAAAATACCTAAGGTAGATAAAGACTAAGGGGAGTGTGTGAAAACAAAAGTAGTTATTTTGGGTTGACAAAGATGATGAATTTCTTTTCCTTCTCACAGTTTTGTTTTTGTTTTTGTTTTTGTTTTGATGTTTTGTCATAATAAATATAATTGGAGGAGAAAAATGAAAACAAAAATTTTCACGTGAAGAATATTTTTTTATAAACTCACTGAATAATGTGTACTTTGTGTTCATTAAAATGTGATTTGTTTTTTAAGTCTAAAATTTACAGAATCGTGGAAGACCATCTAAACTGTTTTTCTTGCCAATAAAATGTGGGGGGTGGAGTGGGGGGATATTTTTCCATAGAAATGTAGACAGAAGAACTCAATGCTGGTTTTCTTTTCTTCTTTCCAATCTTTCTTAGGGATCACCATAGGAGTCTTGGTTCGAGAATACAGCAAGCTCTCTAGTCTGGAGAAATTCTACTTTGCTTTTCCTGGGGAAATCCTAATGAGGATGCTGAAACTCATCATTTTGCCATTAATTATATCCAGCATGATTACAGGTACCTTGAGAAAACTGATGGTTCTCTGTGATTATTTAAGGAGCTGTCTTTTAAGTTGTTCTTTTCTAATTATGGAAAAAATTGAAATGCATTTGATGCATCACACACACACACACACACACTCCTTACTTGGAAAGTGTATATTTGCTTGAGTGGAAATATTTCATTATTCACAAAGTGGCATGGCTCTGCCTAAGGCCCTGTCCACCACTGCTTGAATCTTCATCTGGCCAGCCATGTGATATCTTGGGAGGAAGATGCCATTTTCAAACATATTATAAATAAAACTCTATCCAGGGCACAGGATGTAAAAAAAAAAAAAAGTCCACATATTTGATCACTGAAATGTCAGCCAGTGTCCCCGGGGGAAATGTGGGTGTCAGTTTTGATGTTGTTTTGAGTAGCTCACTCATCTGTTTCCCAACTGCCGCCATGCTGCCCCCCCCACCCCCCCCAATGAGGCTGTCCTCCAAGTCTCTCTGCCTTCTTCACTCCGCTTCCACGCCTCCACATACCTGCCCTGAAAACTCACAGCCACACGCTGTGGGGAACGTTTAAGGATGGGTTTGCACCACATTTTAAAAGCCTAGTATTTTAAAATCCGAACTTGTGACACAGTTGGATTTGGAAATGCTTTTTCCCTTCTTGGTCACTCTATTGCAGGATCCCTTTAAAGAGCAAGCTCGCCTCTGGAGGTAGAGATTAATTTGGCTTACAAAAATGTCATTTGTCTGGGTGTGGTAAGCTGCTCAGTGCATTCCATAGTTTCTTGTACTTACCTTAATTCTGGCATTAAGTAAAATGTGGACTGACAGTCGCTAGTGTTGTCAACTTGAAAAAATCAAGGTTTTCTATAATCATACAAGTAGGATTCTTGATATGTCCTCTTCTAGAATGTTTTTCCCTGTTGCCACTACAAAGACCTAGGGCTGATCTATGTAGAGTACTGGGTGTTGGCTCAGGGGAGGGAGGGTGGGTATCAGGATCTGCTGCACTTAGCAGCCGCATTGCTGGAAGAACTATAGATTTGGCTATTGAACTTTCCAAGTGCCAAACTCCAGTCAGGCTAGAATCCCCCGGGAGCCTTGTCCTTAAATGGTCTTGGTGTTCTTGGCTTATTACAAGCCTGAAAAGAACATTTAATTATTTTTATGTATGTATTTAATTATGTTTTGGAAATGCCTGGCTTCTTTTAGGCCCTGCAACCTGGGGGCCAAATCAGTAGGCCAGTGGTTTATACCACATATGAGTTGTTTATCTGTTCAACTTTAAATTATCAGAAGCATTTAAAATTTGGAAGATTTCGTGTAACCGCCCAGGTTTCTGGGTTCCTCTGAAAAGAATTAAGATCGGGAAACACTGGACCGATGTCCCCCCACAGACCAACAGTGATCTGGAGCTGAGAGACGACTCTTCTGTTTAGTTGAAGCAAATACATTTGAGGATAACACGGCCCCTACCTCTCCCTATCATCTGATACCTCGTCCACTGCACTCATTTACATTACCTGCTGGCCCCATTGGTGTTGCCTTTATAACCCCTGAGCATTTTCTCCAAATCAAGATTCTAAACCTTTTCTTAGGCTCCTTTGAGAACATGATGAAAGCTTTGGACTCTCTCCCAAGAAAAATGTTCATGGTTGTACATACAATAATACTATATTTTGTATGCAACTGTATAAGGTACATAAATCACTTGATGATCAATACCATTTAAAACTTGGGTCTATGGAGGGGGGCACCTGGGTGGCTCAGACGGTTGAGCGTCCAACTCTTGATTTTGGCTCAGGTTATGATCTCGGTGTCGTGGGACTGAGCCCCACATCGGGCTCCGTGCTGCTGAACATGGAGCCTGCTTGGGATGCTCTCTCTGCCCCTCCCCTGCTCGCTCACACACTCTCTCTCTCTTAAAGATAGATAGATAGATAGATAGATAGATAGATAGATAAAATAAATAAATAAAACTTGGGTCTATGGAGGAATGTATGGAAAGTTGATCCAAATTAGGCAGCGAATCCAAAACTCGTGCATTAAACTGGGTTTTAGAACAAAAGGTAAAAATACATGTATGAATATGCTCGTATAATATCAGATGTTGAAATATGTACCACTCTTGGCAGTCAATGACTGGTGGTATTTTTGCAGTCTGGCTGTTTTGTGTGCTAGCTCAGCCTTGCAGATAATCTAGGAGAATAATTTGCAACCCTCAGCACTCTGCTCACATAGCCCAGCTGGTTTCTAGAGCGGGAGCACAGATCTGGACATTTCTACATTCTACATTTTTCCTAAAGGAAAACCCCCAGGAGTGAAACAGGAGTAAGAGAGAGACCAGAAAGGGACGTGAATAAAGCAGTCTGGGAACAGTGATGCCATGTACGTGATTTAAATTGTCAGATTAAAAGGGGGAACATAATATTACTAGTGTTGGCAAGGGTGTGGGAAAACGGGCTCATTCATACATTTTTGATTATTGTATTAAATGGAACAAACTTTTGGGGGATGCAGCTTGGAACATGTCCCGATCTCTCTCCACTTTGTAATTCTACTTCTCAGAATTTCTCGTAAATAATTAGAGATCTGTTCAAAGATTTAGGTACAAGAATGTTCGTGGTAGCATTTTTTTTTTATAATGGTGGTGAATTATAAGCAATCTAAATGTAAATTATACCCCTAAGTTATGATTCTCTGCAATTGTTAAAAACCTTGTTTTAGAAACATTTAATGGCATGTGGATATGTTCCTCACATGGCATAAAATAGGAAGATAAAAACAAATTGCACAACAGGATGTTGTATACAATCTGAAATTTATTAAAATTTATGTGCATTTTTAAATGTTGGGAAGCAAACCAGTTTGTTAATGATGGTTAGATCGAGGTAGTAAGAAAACATGACTCATTGCGCTTTCTTTACATTTTCAAGGCGAACACATGTTTGTTATTTTTGTTTGGTTTTGTATTTTCTTTCTCTCTTCCTCCCTCTCTCTCTTTTTCCCCCCCTCTCTCTTTCTCTCTTTCTTTTTTAAGGAAAAAAAGGCGGGGCGCCTGGGAGGCTCAGTCGGTTAAGAATCTGCTTTCGGCTCAGGTCATGGTCCCAGGGTCCTGGGATCAAGTCCCGCATCAGAATCCCTGTTCAGTGGGGAGCCTGCTTCTCCCTCTCCCTCTGCCTGTCTCCCTGCTCATGCTCTCTCTTTCTCTCTCTCTCACTCGCTCCCTTTCTCTCTCAAATAAAAAAAAAAAGGAAGAAAGAAAAAAGAGAGAGTGGGATGGGTTCTACTTTGTGCTCCTCGGGCTCAGCCTCTGGCAGGTTCCCCACTCCCCTCCTCCCCAGCCGTGCTCCCAGCCCCCCACAGCTCTGCACCACCTTTTCCCTGGTGCTCCATCCTCCCCCAAACCCTGCAGGGGTCCTCAGCGCCCCCACCCAGCAGGGGAGAGCAGCAGGACAGCTGTAGAAATACACTAGAGCAGTTATCACATTCCAAAAGCCTTCATAAATCCAGCAGATCAATAACACATCTTATACACTTATTAGGACAAAGGAAGATGGATGTTGGAAGCTGGGGAGAGTGAGATGAAAGCCCTCAGGATACACAAATTAGAGGTAGAAATAAAAATTGAGACCTACGACTAGTAACCTGTGCTTCTGCATAAAGGAAACTCTCTTGATGAATTAACAAGTAGGAAAAAAAAAACCCTCTGCCATCAAAGCCTGTGCTGACATAAAAATACTTACTTTATAGCCTTTTTTTTTTTTTTTAAACAGAAGGAGCCTTCTTCATGTGACGAGCAGGGTAAGATGTCACATCAGTCAGGGAAATTTGAATATAGGCTGGCTGTTAGATGGTATCAAGAAATTGTTGATAATTTTCTTAGCGGGGATAATGGCATTTAGTTATGTAAGAAAATGTCCTTTTTAATGCATATGGAATGATGTAGGGGTAAGATGACAGAATGTCTAGAATTTAGTTAAAACAGAAAAAAAAAGAAGGCACAGTTCACAAAATCTCAGGGCGTTTTCAGACACAGGCAGTGTAGGCACCAGCAGAATCCTTCCCATAGTTTACATCCCGAGGGACAGACTCGTGAGGCACCGACTATCTGTTTGGGCCCCGTTAACATTTAGGTTTCTAAGCTGTATTTGTAACCAGACCACCAGGGGAATAGCAGGGGAAGTGGCTTATGCACATGCCTGAGAACTGTGGCTCTGGAAAATCCTGGTCCAGGTTTCCCCAGCCAGTGAGTTTAAATTCAGAGCACGTTTTCCTTAATACACAAATGATGATGACTTGAGCCTCCTAGGACCAGCACGGAAAGGGAATGGCCCCTCAACGGCCGCTCCCCGAGGTTCTTTGAGCATCTTTCCAAGATGGTGCCCCAGCTGTGCTCAGGAAGAGGTCCCCAACTCTTCCACTCCAGCCTCTCTGCCCCCACCACCTGGGCCAGAAGTGCTCTGCCAGGCACAGCTGCACCTCTCCCCCGGCTGTCTCCTGTGCCTGCCGCCACCCTCTGACCCCGAGGAGCTCCCCCTTTGCTCCTCTATCCTAAGATAGGAATGAGAACCTAATTCTTCAAAGCATAGCTGAGCCCAGGCTGTGCCCTGGGACAAAGCTTTATGAAAGGTTGGGGAGTGAGAGTAGGGGAAGCACCCACAGTGACATCCACCTGCTCCCTGATGGGGGTCTTCTGAGAGTCCCGGGGCATCTTAAGAGGGCTGCCCCTTCGTTTAGCTGTCAGCCTATTCCTTCCTCCACATGAAGATGTTCCAGGCATTGCCACCCCCCTGGCCCCACCACCTGACACTAGGTTTTGCAAAGGAAGCATTTCACTGTCACACAGGTCTTCCTGTCCTGGCCCAGAGGCGACCTCTTCCTGGGAGGACCAACATCAAGGAATATCCATTTTGGGGGAACCCTCCTCCGAGCTGCAAAGGGATGGTTTGCCTTGGGGGCCCCATCAGGAGACTCACACTAGAATGGGTACCACTGGTACCCGCCAGGTTGGGG